AGCGGGGCGGGAAAACGGCCGGGCGCCGCGCAGCGGGGCGGGAAAACGGCCGGGCGCCACGCAGTGGGGCAGGAAAATGGCCACGGACCACGTGACAGGGGCGGGAAAATGGCTGCGTACCACATGTCAGGGCGGAAAAATTACCGTACCCCGAGGCGGAGTTCGCACATCGAGGTAAATTTTTGCGGCCAGAGCTGGTCGTAACCCGAAAAGTTCGTTAGTAGAGGCATTCGTATCCCGAGGTACCACTGTAAAAATTGTTGAAGTAGAAGTCAACAAGTATGGAAGAATGATAAATGGAAAACACTTGTTTCTAAAGTGGGAAATATGCAACTAAGATGCCTCTCATATTTTAAATTGGCAAGGCAGTTCTGCTAGAAATATATGGAAAAGAAATATCCCACTAAAGTTCCAGAATAAAACTTTTATATCAAAGGGTTTTTTACAAGCATTGTACCATGTAACAACCATAAAAAGTATAGTGGACCAAACAAAATCAGTGTAACAGATCATTTATCCTAATATAGCAAAAAATTAAAGACCACTGCTGTAATCTTTTCTGTTAAAGAATGCTTGTTGACATCAAACTCAAAGACAAAATTGTACCTAAAGGTTGAAACTAGAATTAAATAAGCAACTACATTTTTTGAACTTGGAATATGTAATTTTCTCACTTTGTACGTAGAACCTGTTTTGATGAAGTTTTTTTCCAATACATGGTCCAAAGCTGGATCCAACTCCTCACCAACATCTTCGATTAACAGTGGCCTTCCAAGAGAGAGACTATCCTCCAAGTGGTTTCTAAAATACTTGTGATTCAGGGAAGTGATCTGAAAAAAGAATAATAAATTGTGATAATGGATCACCAGCTAGGGGGAAAAAATTCATTGGACTTCACTTGAAAAGAAGCAGCTGCTAAACTAAAACTTTTATTAACTAACTAGGGTTAAAGATGAGTTATAACCTTCATGATCAAGTCATAGCTATATTAGAACATTATTTGTTTGTGATTTGTTTAGGAAATTTACATTCCTCGTTTTCACTCTTTCTTAACAATTTCAAAGTAGGAATGCAATTCAATTAAGTTTAAAATATGTAGTTTTTTTAAAAAAATTAGAAACAACAACAATTCCTATGGGGAAAAAATAGCCTAGAATATCAATATTGCTGGTTTCCAAATGAACTAAAATTAATTTTAGCAAGTACAGGTTCCTCATTAGTAATTGCCTTGGAATATTTTCAAGTATTCCCTCCACTGACTTGCTGCCTTCCTGAATACTGAACATACAGTAAACATATACTTCCAAATGCGGTAGAAATACACTAGAATTTAATTCACCTGAAGCTCATTCCTGGTTTCTTTGTTCTTAATCCAAATCTTGCCCTGAGTTTGTGGATCAATCAGAAGAGGGTAACGAGCTGCCTTTGTGACAATGATGCCATTCTGAATTGACAGATCATCATTTGGCAGCCCTTGAAGGTTCCACTCACTGACAGTTGGAGCATCAATCAGCATCTCTGTGAGATTGAGATTATTTCCAAATGGGATTTTCCGAGTTTTCATTTCTTTTTGCCAGCTGGTTAACAAAAGATTACGGAACTCTTGATTAAAAGGACCAGAATAGGACAGAAAGGCTGTGGCCAGAAGTACATCCCCTAAATTGATATACAGAAAGATCATATTAGATGGTTGCTAAATTCATCTGCAGTAAATGTAAAAGGAAACTTGCAAGCTAAACTTTAAAGGTCTTGGTCACGTTTCACTGTCAAACAGACTGCTGTGGAACCTCTCATTCTTTAAATATTTGATGATACAGAACAGAAAGCAGAAGAGAGGCATTTATGATGTGAATATTCTGGCCAGTACAGGTTTACGTTCCCATGGCATGCTTTCTCCCCATGCATAATGTTCAACTTAATGTGTTAAATCACTCAGAGATTTCTCACATCAGCACAAAGTGGAGCCAGTATATACTAGCTGATTTTCTTATAAACATATTTAGTGCAAGAAAAAGCATGCGTACAACAGGTCCGCCCTGCAATTCCATTACGTGTACACAGTATAAAGAGGGGGGGGGGGGCACGGTGGGATGGGGAAAGTTTGTTTGTTGTTATGGGAAGGAGGAAAATAGGCAAGCCTCTCCTGGATGGTAATTAACACACTCAGAATGAAAAGGTAGCAAACTAGCTTCTGGCTTGAGTACATCTTCTTCTCTGAAATCTGTCACCTCCTACATCAGCGATTCTTAAAGTGTAGTCCTA